AGTAGCAGTAGCAGCAGTAGTAGTAGTAGTCGTCGTCGTCGTCGTCGTAGTAATAGTAGTAGTAGTAGTAGTAGTTGTTGTTGTTGTTGCTGCTGGTGTTGTTGTTGTTGTTGTTGCTGTTGTTGTTGTTGTTTGTTGTAGTATTAAAAATAGTAGTATCAACAACAGTAGTAGCGGTAGTAGCAGTAGTAGCAGTAGTACATACCCACACTCTAACCGTGAGGAAAATGCGAATACTCACGTCTGATGCTTAAACATATAAACAGGCTCTACCGCGAAATGCTCACACACATTTGGTGTTCGAGATGCGGTAGTTTCTCGCAGCACGCCCCTGCCCAAAATTATAGCATTCTTAAAGATGGAACATGTTCGTGCTTCGTTGTCTATTGAAAATTGCTGAGGGTCGAGATCTTGATAATGACGCCTACGAAGAACACAAGCACACTTTCGGGTGGTGGGGACTGCACGGATACCACCATTACCATAGCCTTAGCCTGCGTAAACCCTGAGCACAAGAGGAGCTAAAGGTCAACCGCGGCAACCATACATCAGAAACCCTAAATCCGAAAGCGCCCCCGTAGACCGAAACAATGGATAGACCTGCGACCCGCAAGCAAGCTATGTCGAACTAGGACAGCAGCGAAGACTTCCTCCAACATCTCTGAACGACGACCTGTCGATGCCCTGGTCCGATCCACGCGCTACTCAGTCGTTAAATCGACATGTTCCCCCAACAAGCAGGGATCCTCTCGATGTCGTTTTTCAGCCGCGTCACTTCCTGCGGCGACAGCTACGAAGAATGGCTTCAAACATGAGGGTTGAGAAGACTCCCTCTACTATGCCACCGTAGATGACGACTAGAGGACCACCAGCAGACCACCTGGCGCCCACCAGGAAATGCTGCCAGGAGACCACCAGGATACTGCTAAAACGCTTAGGGTTTAGGGTTAAGGGTATAGGGTTTAGGGTACAGGGTTTAGGCTTAAAGGTATATAGGGTTTAGGGTCTGGCGGCTGGAGGAGCAGTGCAAGGGCGCTTTCTGGACTAAAGCTTCCCGCTCTTAGCCTAGCTTAGCCAGATCCGAAAGAACACCCCAAATCGAAGAGACCCAGAGTGTTAGCGTACTGTCTGAGGGAAAAAAGAAAACTACCTCGAAGGGAACCCGAAATTATGACGAACTCCCCGTGGAGAGTGAAGTGCGGTTGGCCTAATTAAGGTTAGCGTTTCTTCTAGCAGATGCCCAGTCCCATGATCCACAACTAAAGGGAGTGCGTTCGAAGCAGCAGGTGCTTAGCTTTAAGCCCCGATGATACAGGTCAGGGATCTGCGTGGGGTCCAGGAAAGAAAAAGGTCCGTGGTCAACGGTTTGGGGTCTGGGGTTCCGAAACCTTCGACCCTGAAGCACACCTGGCGTCCGTTGCGCAACTCGGCTTCAGCAGCTGCTTGGGCCTGGCCAGCAAGCGAGGCCCACCGACGCAGCTAAACGACCGACCGAGCAACCAATCAACCAATCAACCAACCAACCAACCAACCAACAAACCAACCAACCAATAAATCGATAAATTAGTCAGTCAGTCCAGCCGACCAACCGGCCAACTAACTCATCAATCAAACGGTAAAGCAATCTAGTAACCCGTTGTTGCAAAGAGCCTCACCAAACAATCAAAGACTCCAAGAAGTCGAGTCAACAAGTACATACAGTTGTATTCAAACAGATGTATATCTGTACACAAGTACATGCCTTGCGTGGTCTGGAGGCAGACGACGGCGCTGCCGACGACGACTGCCACCACGCGTACTACACCATAGACTGTGACAAACACTGCCACTACCACTTCTAACCACCGTGGCAAACAACTCCTCAAACTCAAACGGGCTTTCCTATATTACCATGGCGATGAACGAAATGTTAATATGTTGCATATGAACATCGACATCAGATCACCAAAATCATCTGCGTGAACAGTTTAAGCTTAATGCTCTCCAACCTACGTTTGTATAAAAGCAAATGATGTATATCTGTGTGCACGTACACGTCTGGTGTGTGTGCGCGTGTGTGTGTATGGCGGCAAACAAAGGCGACGACTGCTACCACGTATACTACACCATAGACAGTGACAAACACTGCTAACCACCATGGCAAACAACTCCACAAACGGGCTTTCGTATGTTACCATGGCGAGGAAAGAATTGGTAATATGTTGTGCATGAACATCGACAGCGAGTCGCCAACATGATCTGCAGGATCAACTTTCGTAATGTGTCTCTTACCGGACTCCAACCTCATCCTCTAACCACAACCACAATCTCACTCATCATAGTGATCACCGTCGGGCGCTTCTGCCTCCGCTGTGCCACATTGCCGCTGTGTCACAATCAGAAAAACCGTCACCAAGAGTGCTACAACATCAATAACTACAAGACTACCACGGCATCATCATCGTCATCATCATCACCACCCCCGTCGTCGTCATATTCATCGTCGTCACCACCGTAATCATCAGCATGATCAACATCATCACTGTCATCCTAGGATGTCACATCATACTGACATACTGTATACCGAGAACCAACGACAAATTTTGTCATCTTACTCTCGCGCACACACACACACACCCGCTCGCACACACACGCAAACACACTTATGATACGAGCAGCAAGCGAATTGCAGTGAAACGTGCAGGCTGCAGCGCACACTGGATTCAGAATCCGCTGCATCTCTAGGGTTTAGGGTTCTAGGGTACAGTCCTCAGCTTGACGGCCGACGGGACATTCTGTCGCTTGCCTGTTGGATGCTGTTCCTACCACAAACCAACTTAACCCCAAAGCCCTAAGCCGTGATCCCTGAACCCCAAACCCTAGTACTCCCGTCCCTGGGTTGCCTTGGCCGCGGCGAGTGCCGCCGCGGAAGCCTTCTGATGAAGGTTGAGGGTTTAAGAGTGTAGGGGTTCAGGGGATTGGTTTGGTGTGTAGGTTTAGGGGTTCAGGGCTTCATGTTACCGTTTGGGTTTACGGTTTGTAGATGATGGCTTGGGGTGCAGCGATTCTTTTCTGGCGAAATGGACATTTCGGTGCATCTTGCAGCTCAACGACGGTTAAGCAAATTAGGGGTCTAGGAACTCCGGGTTTCGGGTTTAGGGTTTTCGGTTTAGGGTTTAGCGTTTGGGGTTTGGGGTTAGGGTTTTGGGTTTCGGGTTTCGGGTTTAGGGTTTTCGGTTGATCCAAAACCCAACGATAAATGCGCGCACGAGGTGAGATCCTAGCAATGGGCCGCGAAAGGATTGGAGACATTTCCAACAACACCTCTTCCCAAAACACCTTGCTTCAAATGCCCAAATGCTAAACCTTAACAGCTCTAGACTGGCTGTTCAGGGTTTAGGCAAGTTTAGGCTCATGTAAATTTCAAGGTTTGCACTTCGACAATCAGGTCGCGCGAAAGCTTTCCTGCTTCCGCAGGATTGCAGGATCTTAAAATCCAAAATCCATTTAGACGCACACTCGAATCTCTCCAACTTGATTACCAGACCAAGATCCAAACAAGGATCCTAAGCCCTAAACCCCAAGCCCGAAACCACAACCGGTCGTAACCAAAAAAGGGACACACACACACACACGTCCCCGTTTTTTGAAAGGGTTTAGGGCCTCAGAACACAAGAGTCCTAAATTGCGAAACCCCTACTACAGCCCGAAAATAATTGAAATCCTAAGGGTCCAAGGGACCACCAAAACACACACAGATAATCCAAGATCTTAGGCATCGATGGAAACTTTTTGCTTCTTAGGAGTTTCCACGGCATGAAAAGTGGCTAGCGCTGAGGCTTCCGAAATGCAGGGGCCTCTTTGTCTCATAAACGTTTAGACTCTGGCACGGTTAAGCAATAAGCTCTAACATCCCGTATTGGCAGACATCGAGGAGAAAACGAAACATTCCCAAATTTCAAAAGCTTCAAAAAAGTTTACACAACCTGAAGAAAAATACAAAACTGACTGCTCTCTTCTTTTACAACAAGCGCTCCCAGCCTGTTGAGCAGTCTTTTGCGCCTCAAAGCCAGAGGCTTAGGCTCGAGTTTCGTAAGGCAGGGTTAAGGATTTCGGCTTAGAGTTTGGCGGTCGGGTTTAGGGTGTATAGGGCTTTAGGGCTCAGCTGTTTGAACTGATCCCTGTCTTTCTCGCTCCTTCAGAGATGCTTAGGGTTTATAGGGCTCCGGATCGAAGGCTCGGGGGGTTTGAGGTCCCTACAGGTTTAGGGTTTGGGGATTTCGGGG